AGATTAACCAAATGTCTCTCACCTCTGTGTGTTACCCTGACACTTGAAATGGCTTTGGAGACCAAAACAATCACCAAGAGTCTTTCCGCAGGCTGGTTTGGTTGTTTAATTTTTTAATGTTTGAAACTGATTAACCCTGCCTGTTTTATTTCTCCATAAAGCTGGACTGAAAACATGAAAGTGGAAAACAATGCTTCTCTACACACACTTCAGTATCTTACTTTACATCTCCAAGTTTCTCTGTCGCTCTTTCTCTTTCTGTATCAACATGCACAATTGCACAATTAGCCAGAAGCAAAAGGAACTGTCATTGAATTATGGTGTTCCCTGTATTCTTGTCCTTCTAGAGACCATGCTATCATCTTCATAACTGTCATCAGTAGTGGAGAGATCACTGAGACGAACTGACAGGATGAATCACAGAAATGGGGGGCGTGAGTGGAGGGACTCTTGTGTATGAGCAATAAAGAGAAAACAAATGGAGGGAGAAGATGGAATTAAAGACTGTATTCTTTACTTTTTCAGTTCCACTGCTTATCCTTAATTAATTTGTTATGTTGTATTGATTACCATAACACAAAACTATACATTCGCGATAATAGCCCTAAATGCCATGTCAGTCACTTTCTCTAAAGCACAAATTAAGGGAACAGAACCTTCATTTGCTCTCTTAACTGGGCCATTGCCACAGTGACCTCCATCCACATACTGATTGGCCATTATAACACACAAGTGGCTCAGCTCAGTGCCAGCCACAAACACACACACCCTCACACACATACACGATCTTGCTCTGCCAGGAACCTAGATATCACTTTCTAATTCAATCTCTGTTCTGTATCCCGTCCTCTGTCTCACTCCCTCAAAATTCCTCTTTAAACTATTTTCGTAGCCTCTCCGCAGCCTTTAAACATGAATATATGTGTATATATATATATATATATATGCCTCTGCTTTGTTTCACTTTTAGTGATGACTCTTAGCTCCCTTCTCTCGCCTCCATGTTCTTTCTCTCTCTCTCTCTCTCTCTCTGCACAGTATATCTCCTCCCTCGCTGCTCTCCTGCCCTGCCTGTGGTTGGTGGCAGATGCAATCATCATCACTTAGCAGCTCTGCCTGATTGCTGCCCAATAATAAGCTCTAGCTGTTTTTATGTGCGAGCTGAGTCATGCAACAAAGACTAAAATGTTCCACTAATCAGAAAGATGCACAAAAGCCAACTGCTGCTCTACACTTACATGTATAGCTATATGTAATATGGTTAATGGGTATAGAACACGTGATTTTTTCCTCCTGCATGGACTAGTTTCAGTGATATTTGACTACTAGAAGAATTAAGCAAAACCACCATATTAAACACATTCAGAAACACTGTATCGTTCTCACGTATATGCTAGGCATTGGAATCACATGTAGAACTGCACACTGTTGGAGCTACTGTTTTGCTCGGATGCTGAATGAGCCAATGACATGTATTATTTCTGCTAGCATAACTGTCAGTCTCCGTCTCTTAGCTGCAGATTCACTGCTGTGAATGATCTGTAGATGTCTACCCCCTCCCTGGCCCAGCCTGCAAGTCTCCTCTGGGAGGATGCAGTGAAATTGAGCACCCGGCTTGCCGTAAGAGGAGCAGGCCGCAGCAAGCTGAGCAGACTAGAGCTGCGTCACAGAGGCTGCAGCACTGGCCTGTCTGCAAGGGGTGCCTCTATTATATCTGCTGCTTGGATTTGGCCTTAAAGAAGAGACACCCCAATAGTCTCATATGCCCCTCTTTGTCTTTCTCCATGAGATCTCACCTATTTAGTCATAATCAATCCTCTAATCTCTCCTCTTTCATCAAGTATGCGCCAAAAGACCAAGTTCTAACTAGAGCATCCGACAATTCTCTCTCCTCCCTCTCTTCCCAGGATTCAGGCCAAGAAACCTTAAAATAATTCCAAAGCTAAGAAAAGATTAGCGCAATTATGAAGTCAAAGGAGGAACATTTCCAAAATAGCAAACCATTGTAAACTGTCTCTAGCAGAGAGGAGGCAGGGAGTTTCCATAATAGCCATTTAGGTTGTCCATCACAACTGCCAGACGTTTACAACAGTATACACTGTTCTCATGAAAGCTAAATTGTGTGTAATAACTGCAGGAGACACAGTAGTCACAAGACTTTGTCCCAAAGCCGACACTCTTACTCTGACCATCATTGCCTGACTGTAGTTAAGAGGACAAATAAAAATAAAAAATGACCCTCCCAATCACTCTTCTGCACTGACAAAACATTATCTTCTCCTATCTCTCTCTCCCTATTCTCATTTTTCATGATTTCACAACGTCAGAAATACAGCAGCAACATGAGCAATAAAAGACAAGATTTGTGACAGAAGCTCACAGGAACACAAGACAAATGACATGCTGCTGTGTCATGTTCCTGCTAAGGCTCGGTGAAGGGAGGAGCCACTCTACGCTTACAGCTCGCAAATTTGCTTGGGAGATGTGGATGCAGATGGGGTGGCGCCGGGGCTAAAGATGGGGCAGCGGGATGAGGGATATGGGCGAGGATGCCAGGGTTAGGGTGGGGGGAGATGGGGCTGGGAATCTGATAAGGATGGGGGCTGGAGAGATAGGAATCACACAAAGCTTTTGGAAGTCAGTCAGATTGTTAGTTAATAGGGATGGAGGCTTTAGGCTTTAGGGAGGCTGCTTATAGCTCAGAGGGGGAGACAACCTGCGGTTTAGTGAGGAGGCTAACATGCAACTGAATCACAGTTTACTCATGCAGCAAATACTGTTTACCTAACAGTCTCTTTCACTTTAACTAGCCCAGTAGCCTCTATATAACTGCCATGCATCTATCCTGCTCACTCTCCCCTCCCCCCCTCCCACAATCTATTTAACAATATCTTCTTCTTGTGTACTATGCTCATCCTCTCTTCTCTAATTATGTTCTTGTCTCTTTCTTTAAACTCATCTACCTGCTTAACTTCCTCTTTCGTCCTTCTCCACCCCCAACCCCAGATGTCCTACCTGGTCCAGGGAGCCCTGTCTCCTCAGCTCCCTGCTCTGGATGCTTGTTGTCGGTGGGAACAGATCTGTGAGAGCTCTCCCCCGGCATGCTTCTCGCTGGCTCTCTTTGGCTCTGACGCAACAATAAACCATACAGCCGGAACAGACAAGGTGAACAGGGAGAGGGAGTGAGAGAGTGAGAAAGGAGAAGAAGGGGAGGGGGGACCAGAATGCTCAGCGACCCAACACTCAGATCCTCCCTGCAGCACGTGTCTGTCTTTGTGTGAGTGTGTGTGTGTGTTTGTGCGAGAGACAGACAGAGAAGAGAAAGAGTGAGAGATGGGAGTAAACGCTGGTCTCTCTCTCTCTCTGTGGTGCAGCAGTGATGCTGCTGTTGTGGGCGTGTGTTTTAGAGCCTCATGATCCAGAATCCTGAATATACAGTATGTGTGTGTGTGTGTGTGTGTGTGTGTGTGTGTGTGTGTAAATTCTGAGAGGGAGCTGCAGTATCCTCTCTTGATGCACACATCCTGATTCCCTCCCTTCCTCCCTCCTATCCATCCTCTCTGTATCTCACCCCCTCCTCTCTCAACCAAGCGGACTGGATCTTGGGGGATGATGTCAGCAGATTTGCACTGTTCTCTCAGTGCTGCCCTCAACCTTGAAGGAAAGGACCAGTACTGCAAAAACAAGACACAAATGGAGAAATCAAGCAAAGGAGGGAGATTCAAGGGAAAAACAACATCGGGAAAGAGAAACAGAAAACACAAACAAAAAGGCCAAAAACAAAACCTAAAAGTGTACTGCTAATTATCACATCTGCCTCCTGCTCAGGTTACATTCATTCCCCAAGGACTCAACAAGGAGTCATTTACCCTGAGGGCAAGCTATAGCATCTGTCTGCTCTCCATCTTAGCCACCTCTCCTGCACTCTTACTTGTTCTCCTCTGTTTTACCTCTACTCTTATAGACAAAAGGTAAGGGAAATATAGATGGAAAGAGAGAGAGAGGGGGGGGGGGGGGGCGGCAGCACTGAGCCAAATAATCAGCAATGGCAGTTTCCACGGCAACCTAAAACTTCCCATGACAGATTGCCAGCTCAGCAGAAGTGCTGCATACAGGATGATGTCTAATAGCCTCCATGTAATCCGGTTGACCTAAACAAATATAGCAGCTGGTAGACTCACAGCTTAAAAAAAGGAAAACGGTGTTTGTACATTATCATCTCAAGTGTAGGTGTCACTTCTCAGGTATCAGTCGGAAGCAGTACGTAGAACAAGATCTTTTTATATTAAAGTAGTCTGTGTGATGTGTTGAGTATAGAAATAAAGCTTCATTGCTCTAATAAGGAGATTGGCTGCACCTGCACACTGCTAGCCCATCAGACAGGAGACACGACCAAAGTGTTCAACACCAGAAGTGCTAGCTGGGCTCTTTGTCATCAGGCCCATTGATCCATGAATACCCAAATATTGGTAACAATGAGGTAGGCACCATGGCCCCTGATCATGTGATGGTTTATCAGATAAACCATTCATTTTTCCTGTTGGTTGTTTTCTGTACTCTGGCTTTGTAATATTCTTAGAGGCTGCCTTTCAATTGAATTCCTTTTTCTCTCCTCTGCACTGATTTACATTTGTCAGTCTTCTTCCCTCTGCCATTTACCAGCCTCTGATGTCAGTGCTGCTGCTGCCCATGATGTTGTGTAAGCAGTTTCAGGGGTAAGCAAAGTGTTTATCTGTGAGTTTTAGCCTGTTGATTCATAATAATGCTGCTGCTCTTTAACAAACATGCACATTAATGCACAAACATATATTCAGCGGGAAATTTAGATATCAGATAATGTTTTCAACTATTCTAGATTTAAATACACTTGACACATTACACTTGTTTAAAATACTGTTATCCATTTGTCTGTGCACTATATTATATATATATATATTTCTATTTTCTGCACTGCATTGATTGTTTAATGTTGTGCACTATCCACTATGTCAAATCCCTATTATGTGCAACATACTCTCGCAAATAAACAGTTCTGATTCTGATTCAATCAAAATTCAACACAGGACTCAAAGATATGAAACACGTACCAATGTATCTACTATGCAAACTCGCTATACTTATATTACAATGTATTAATCTATGCAGTGGGTGAACAAAATAACAATCTAGCTGTCATTTATGTTAGCAAAGCTGTGAAAATGCTCATCAACCCTGCTCTATGCCGATTCGACAAATGTTTGCTAATAATACTGATCACACGCACCAGTACGCCAGAGAGGTGTGCCACTAGCTGCCACATGTGAAATTATGCATATCCTATCTGAATACCACACACAATACTGCAACAGGGCCCCGACTGTACATGCAAGAATTGTCAGACAAAACAAGTAAAAATGGCAATAAAACAATTTATTCCATAAAAGATGACACACATAAATTATTCCGATCTATTCACATGATGATATTAAGCCCAACCCGTTTTGGCCAAAGTTATACAAACGACCTGGGTGCTTCCGTTTTGACAGGTCACTCGCAGAAGCAAAGACTCGGTCTTAGATCACATCATTTGTACAGAAGGACTGTCTTTTGAGTTTATTTCTGTCTCTTCTCTGGCTCCAAAAAGCCTTGCTCGCCATCACCATGGAAACAGGGAAAGCCCCACATGTTGCCAAGGGAACCAGAGTGAAAATATGTTTTGTTTTTTTTTTCCTGACAAAAGTATGAGAGAGCTTTTCTGCAATGCTGCAGAAACGTGGGTGTGTGTGTGTGTGTGTGTGTATTCCCGGTGGTCCCATTAGATTGGGAAAGCTCAGATTTGGCTGCGTCTGCAGGACCGATGGCTTCACTTGGCCATGTCCCCGGCCACGGCCTTCCCCATTTTATCCTTCAGGTACGCCAACTTCTGCCAATCTGTCTTCAGCTCCAGCCACTCATAATACGGCACCTGAAAGAGGACAAAAATGATAGATTTGAAAACCTTTTGAGAGCTACTGAGCGAGTACCTTCTCATTGTCAGTGAGTGCTTAAGAGAACGCACTTTTAGAACTAGTTTGATAGTCACATATTTACAGACACATTTAGGACAACATGCTGGTTTTTAGTCTCGGGTACATGTGGTCGCCCTGTTAACAAATCCTGCAGCACCGCCTGAGAGGCAAGTGATGCTACTATTGGCAAAGGAGGGTGTCCTAGATGACAGAGAGAGCACCTGCATTGGCCTAGATGAGACAGAGCTGCAGCAGCAGCAGCTCTATTTATACCACGGACTGCAGCGGAGCCCACCTGACTTCTTGCTCTACCAAAGTACTGGCTCCATTGTTTGCATGGCCCGAGACCGTCAGATACAGCAGTGCTGCTTCTTTGCAATATTTCCCACTATCACAGCGAACACACCAGGAAATTCCCTATGCAATTAATGAGTGTGTCATGACTATGGATCTGAAGAACAAGTAGCTCAGCACACCTTATCCACAGGAATAGACTAAATAACTTGTTCACCGTTAAATAATACCTTTTACTTTGAAGTAACTAGACGCTGGCTACAAACACTGCCACAAAGATGGGTTATCCCATTTTCCTGCCTCTACCTACCTCCACTGTGATGAAACCAGCCAACTGGAGATGTCGCTTCATCATGGCGAACCGTCCCAGAAGGTCTTTACTCTTTGAGCCAAAGTTTGGAAATTCCAAAGCCAAGAAAGCAAGCCTGAAAACAGATGAATGGAGCAAGGAGAGGGAAACAAAAAATAACTTTAGACAGCTAGAGCAAACGATGCAACAGTTAAAAAGGGAGAAAATCAAAAATAAATCTTTAACAACCCAAGGCTAGAGGATTCCCCTCTGACTCACCGATGTGCCCCTACAGGTAAAGCCTGGTCTCCTCCTCCACTGGGAAGGTGAGAGGCACTCAGCATCAACATATCAACTGGTTTGTTGTCACAATCAACCACCAGCTCACCATCTGATTGGAGAAAGGTATGTCAGCTGTTAAATAGCTCTCAGAATGAATGACACTCCTTCACCTTTACACAGAATGTGGTAAATGTTACTTTCAGTGTAAAAGTCTTGTAAAGGACCTGACAGCATGACAAAGTGCATCCTATACGGGCTACTCTTACCAATAGTCCATCCATAAACTGTGTCAACCCCAGTGCGAAGGGCCTCTGTCCTCGCACCCACCAAACTCTGTAAACCCCCTCTCAGACTGCTCTGCAGGGGGGAGAGGGGGGAGCTCTTGACCGGTACAGACAGGGCCTTCAGGGAGGATGGAGTATCTGAGGAACCCGGGTGCTCCAAGTGGAGAGTAGCAGCAATGTGGAGGAGCTTCAGCTGATAATTCTCCACTCGAGCTGGACTGCCCTCTACAGACAGAAATAGAATCCACATACATCAAATATTTTCAAAACCCCCTTCAAGAAAGTTGTAGTAATCAATGCTCTGCTTCGGATCTGTGAGACAGCGGGATTTATGTCCCCGTCTAAACAGAAATGTGTTGGTGCAGCACTGCCATCTACTGAGCCAGAGTGGGATTTTTAACTATGCGTAACTGTATTAATACAAAGTCTGTTTCTGCATATTTATGAATTCCCTATTTGTCGAGAACAGGAAAGGTACAGAAGAAGAAGAATGAACGCCCACAGCTATGCGTCTTACCCGACAGTTTGGTAACGTGATTCTGTTGTGTGAGCGGGAGGAGGTACTGGGGCTTGGCCTGCTGCAGCACACACAAAGCCCAAACCACATCTGTCTGCAAGTAGGGCTCCAGGCCAGAGAGAGAGCCCTCCAGCACAGAGTGAACCTTTACACAGAATGGCACATATCAATAAAAAGGGTGGGAAGTAGAAGCAACCATGTGCAGTCAACAGACGAGCCTTTAATATTATTAGTACCTTGCTAAATAACTCTTCTCCTTTGCTGGGCTGGAAGTTCAGTCTGGCAAAAGTCATGAGCAGATTACAAAGCTGGAGGGTGCTGTACTGCTTACCGTTTGCAGTGAAGTGCTGGTGAAGAAATGTACGGAGAGTATTACACAGCGAGCGAGAAAAGATGCATTCAAATACTTCGTTAATTAGAGATTGAGCACTTTTCAAAATGAACTGAGTTGGAGTTAATGACTAACTAATGACTGACCTCAGCAAAGGCCTCAAAGAGAGGGACGTGGAGCCATTTGAGGAAGCCCAGGGATTTAGCACAGCGTGTGACATCGGCAGAGCCGAGCTCAGTCACTCTGGGTAACAACTCGGAGGCCATTCGCTGAAATACCTGAGAATGGTGGAAATTCAACTTCCCTATGGAGGAGCAAGGACAAAGTTGGGACTGTTAGCATTATACAATTTGTTACTGAGCAGAACGCAAAAGAAAGACTTCAGCTATTCCTTAAAACATCTTTAAGGAATAACCCAAACCCAAAAAAATGACAGAGGGGCCAATAAAGACGTGGATATACACTATTAATTTGGTTCATGCATTCCTTCTGTGTTAGTGAATATGTAACGATCGGTGTTATTACCGTATGCAAAAGCCATGTCCAGTATGAGCGGAGTGGTGAACTCTGACGAGGACTTCTGGAGAAGGTGGTAGGACAAAGCTCTGAGCAGCGGCACAGATCTGCGGCTCTGAGCTGCCAGAGAAGTGCAGACTTTGCGGATCTCCTCTGCTGAGAAGCCCTCTGCGAGCTCCAAAGCCTGCAATACAGACAGAGAGTATTGCACTGTGGTTTGGGATTATGGGCTAATTGACCTCCGGCCGCATGATCCAATAGGTATAGGGTAGACTCATGTTGTTCATAGGTGTACAACTCTTTTACGTGCTCATTTTCCAAGACAGTGATCACTGTTTTCACCAAGTAAATGCCATTATATTTTTCCCTATATGCTTACATTTTATACCATTAAACGCACATGTGATATATGCTTTCAATGACCTTATAACATTACCTTCCAGTTCCTTTTCCAGGGGAAAATACTTCCAAGCTTTTAGAGACAGCAATTAATATTCTGTTTCCTACCAACCTGGTCTAGTGATGTGTATACAGTGAAGTTAAGGCGCGGTTAACTTGTTTAGCTGAGCAAAAAAAACATTTTGTTGAATGGTGGCGGATGTTTTGAACTTTGATACCTTGTCTTCGAGACGGTCTATCAAGGTGGGCGACATGCGTTGTCCATTGGATATCAACGCACTGACAGTTTTAGCATCGGCAATTTCAGTCCAACGCAGTTCCAGCTGTTTTAATGCAGCATTCACGATAGCCACATCCTGCTGTCCTTTCCTGCCTGCTCCCCAATCTGCCAGGTAGCCCAACTGCTTGTAGGTCAGCCGGCGGACACGCCACAGGACCTCAGTCTGGACAGAATTGAGTGCTGAATTAGTGGAGGGCACACCCATCATCCAGAAAGCTCGCAAGACAGACACCAGATTGCCATTCCACACTGCAGACACCTGGAAGAAAAGCACACGCAGAAATGAGTAATCAATCTGCACAGGCAAGCACAAGGGTTGTCGGTTACCGTACATAATAATAACGCCAGTCCAGCTCAGTGTGTGAAGCCCTTACCTGCCGAGATACTGTATCCATCATATCCAGTAGCCTTGAATCGCTCATCCGTTCTGCTTTTTGTTCCTTAAACTTGCCCTTGGTCTTCAGCACCAACAGAGTCCACTTCATCAGGGAATTAGCAGCTTGATTACCATTCTGTCCATGCTCTGCCCAGGCCAACAGGATGTCCTCTGGCACTACTGCCTTTTCCAACAACTCATCCAGCTGGGTCCGCGTAGGCGTGCCCGGATAGTGGTCTTCCTTGTCAATTGTCCTTCCCTCGCACATGAACCTTTCTGTAACCCGTGGCCAGCCCTGAGCCCTCTTCATCTCTGCAGGCCCGGCCACAGGCGGAGGCAGGCGGGCAGCAGCAGCAGCCGGCGTCTTGGAGGAGGAGGCCCTGCAGAGTAGACGGGCATGTCTGCCCAAAAGGCGGCTGGCCATTGGGTCTGAGAGACAAGACGGTGGCCACCGAGAAGAAAGGAGAGAGCGAGAGAGGGTTTCTCACAATTCAGCAGCTGGCGTCACCATCTTACACCGAACCTAAGGGGCAACAAGTGTGGTTATAAGGACAGGTTACCCGGTTAAAAGGTTATCTCAACAATCAGCTGATCCTTTACATAATTACATACTGTTCATGTTCACCGAGCCATCTTTCACTGGCCAGTTTTTATCAAGCGCTCGGGTAGTGTAATGTTACCAACGAGGGAAGTTGTGTAACCCAGAACGGTTCACAATGGCAATAATGTACCGAGGTTGATTAATTATGTCTGTTGCTGCTACTTCCATTGCAATGGCATCCCTCGCGTTAAAGTGTGACGTTAACGGAAGCTGCAGTCTGAGAGTGGACGTTTCTTCTGTCATGTAATCCTGACCTTGTCGCTAAAAGGAAGACACTCTGAAACACCGCTGACCGGCAGCGCTTCGGTTCGTCCCCCCTCGTGAAGCTGAGCGACATTAGCAGAGGCGGACTAAAGACAGAAGCTCATAGCACCATCAGCTATCATATGAATGCACGACTTACCTGTAATTAACGATAACTTTGGTCAAAGCTGTTCACATGGAGCTATCTGTCAGTAGTAGTCGCAGGAAAATGACGTCGTGGGGCGGTGTCACGTGACTCTGCTGTAATTGGCTAGAAACGTTCGACTTCATTCATTGTTTATAATTTAAAGGTTTAGACTGCTGGTCGGACAAAACAAACATTATGAAGGTGTCACTCTGGGCTCTGGGTCATTTTTACAAACCAGTTAATACCAGTTAATAGTTCAAAATGAGCTCAGCTGGAACAGTGAAATCCTGTTTTTAAATTAACACATCAGTAATAACAATAATCTAATGATAGAATACAGTCATTCCCAAAGTCTAGGTCGGGACCCATGAGATTTTATTCGGGTCGACAAATAAAATAGTTTCTTCAATAGTCTTTTATTTAACATTAATATATGCAGTTCACCTTTGAGCCACATGAGGGAGCCTGAATGTTGGTGTTGTTGTGATAATTGCAGTCGATTTATAACATTGAATCTAAAATGAAAGGCTAGCGTACATTCTGTCTATTTAATTAATGGGAGAAAATTAAAAGAACAAGATTTATTCTCACTTATAAAATATGAAAACGTATTCGTCTTTTAAATGGCTGGTCGATAGTGGTGTAACGGACCGTTGTCGATCCGTGCGGTTCGGCTCGCATGTGAACCACGGATTAATTACACAGTTTAACGTTAACCATCACAGTGTGAAATTAAGTGTCACTGACGACAAGTAGAAATATGCAATCTGGACATCACTATTCATGCTTATGTAATGTAACATTAGATAGTTTTAGGGAGGTAGCTTAATGTTAAATGGCAAAAAAATGCTGTTTAGTTTTTGGTCTAAATAATTGAAGAATTTGCACCATGAACACTTTAATGTGTCAAGCTCCAGAAATGCTTGATCCTGGATTTCCCTTAATGCAACTCAAGAACTTCTTTCTTTATGCCTTCCTTAAGATTTATTTAGTGCTGCATTGACACAATGACACCTTCAAGTTTAAACTGGAACAGATTCAGCTTTTTTTGTAATCTGAGTGAGCCTACCCTTTAATTTCTCTCCAGAAAGCAGGAAGTGTGTATGTGTGTGTTACCTGTCTTTCACTTTTTTGTTACCCCATCATCCCATCTTATGTTCTCTCCCTCCTCACTTGTACCCCAAGTCATGTTTAATTAGAGCTGATAAAATTAGGCAGATAACATTGCTTTGATTACACAGCCACTGTCACTCTACAGTAAAAAAAACAATATTGACTCTATTAAACACAACTTATCTTACCTGGCTCTTATTTACCCAGCATGCAACATGCTCTGGGCAAAACAGTTAAGGGACAGGGTGACCCTTACTAGTTCTACTTACTTCTCTTCATTACAGGATAGTACAATATTATAGCATTCAAAAGAATGTATTTTTAAATAGGAGTTGTGTTGCCATTTTGCGGAGGGATTTATCTTAATGTCTAGTATTATAAACTTATTTAGTACACAATATCTATCTCTATTTGCATCTGTCTACAATAGTGTGCCTGTTTTAACCTCTACATGTGTAATGATTCGTTGACAGAGGTTCTTGGTATTTAGAGAGCACGGTAGAGAGGCCTGCTGACGCATATCTGATATAATGACCCTCAGCCAGGCACAGGTTAGTGCTGGGCTTTAATCTAAATAACAGCAAAACTCAGAATTTAGTTAAGGTGCACACACGTGGGAGTGTAATAATCCAATGTGGTGGACAGAAGTAGTGTCTGGTCATCAGAGTAAACATACAGCCAGTTACTGTACCACTTAGCCAGCAGGCGGTGGAGGAAAAAACAACCGCAGTGGACATACTGACACCATTGGCATGCTCACACCATTGACTTGCCTCTATGGTTGATGCTACCTATTACTGCTGATGAGCTGGAATTGGCATCAGGTGTGATTGCAGATTAACTTGAGCTACCGGCTATTTTCTGCCCCATGTTCTCTCCCTTTGTATTTGGTTCTGTGGCGTTCCAGGGCATCACTGACTGTCTGCCCTGGTGGTGGCCCAGCTGTCAGTCTGTCGATTGTGCGCGCTGATTTGGTCTCTTGTCTTAGTACATGAAAGATGGCAAATTTCCCCCCTACTAGTAAAGCCAGTGATTCACAGTTAGGCAAATGCTTACTATATCAAGGCAATTTTTACTTCCAGAGTGACTTAATGGCGAATAGTCCCCTGGGAGGCTCGTGTATGAGGAATAGCAGTTGTTTAGTGCAGCATTCATTGTAAATTGATGCAGTTTAATGTTGGGCATACTGGTAGGAATGACATTGGTCTGTGTTAACCTTCACTGTTCCTTTCTTCTATACTTCAATCAGTTTATCAGGAAAATAAACATGCAGAGGGTAGATAAGAGATACCAGCATAGCTTGATATGAGTGTATTCGTGTATGTGTGTGTGTGTTGTGTGTGACCTGTGTAGGGGTGACATTGTTGCTACTTGAGGTACAATTTTACGCAGGTAGTCGTCTTGAAGTGCGTGTTTAAACATATATGTGTGTTTGTGTCCAAAGGTGTTTGTGCGCATGTGCCTATAAAAAAGGGGAGTTGTCATTTATAAAAGGCTTTTCCAGAATATCATTTCTTTTTCGGACCATTGTGTGTGTGTGAGTGGGTGAGAGAGAGAAACAGGGTGTGTGTTTAGGACTGGACCCTAGCTGACTGCCAAAATTCCCGGGGCCAAGAAGAAGGATCGAATGGTCTGGACCTCCATTGATTTAGGAGAGCAGTCCCCTAACACACCTGCAGCCATGACTAAAAAGGTATGCCACCCTGAAGATTAGCTGATAACCAATTATTGGTCGGGCATTTAGGTAGACTGGATCTTACTTTACTAATCATTTTCAAAACTTATTTACGTATAGTTTTGTTGAAGTTATTCTTTCAATCACAAAGGTCATTTAGTTGATGTTGGTGAATCACTCGCTAAATAATACAATTGTGTATGCATGTAAACACTTTGCCAATCACTATCTGCCTGTAGGACACATACGACATGTTTGAGATGAACGGAGATATGGACAAGAAGAAGAAGAAAAAGATGAATAAGAAGGAGAAACTGGAGGGCATGAAGAAAGAAATGGATATAGTAAGTAAAGACAGAAGCCTCGGGGCTTCACAGTAGTGAGAATATTTAGTGATGAACTCTCTGTCCATTTGCATCAAGTTACAACCAACCAGCTATGAATAAATCACCTTGATTGACTCTTATCTACCCTCTAAACGTTTTGGTTGCTCTGAATAAATATTGCGATATGTCTCCTACAGGACGACCATGAGATTACAATTAAAGAACTAGAATTGAGGTACAACACTAGTGTTACGAAGGTAAGACGTTCCTACCTAATGACTTTCTTTCTTTAATGTTTGTCTTTTGTTGGTGTTTTGTAATATTTTCCACTTCATTTTTTATTCACTTACTTCCTTTTCTCTTCAACCATATCCAACATCCCCCTCTGTGTAGGCCCGTTAGGTTCAAAGACAATGATGTTTCCAAGCTCCCATTTTTTGTGGTTTGTAGTTTCTTTAACCAACCAAACTCATCAGTCGAATCTGTTTTTCTGATTTCCATTCACAGGGTTTGACCTCCACCTTTGCCGCTCAAGTCTTGGAGAGAGACGGTCCTAATGAACTGAAGCCTCCCAAAGGAACTCCAGAGTATGTGAAGTTTGCCAGGCAGCTGGCCGGAGGGCTGCAGTGTCTGATGTGGGTCGCAGCTTGCATCTGCTTTATCGCCTTTGGAATTGAGCTTGCGAGAGGGAACGTCACCAGCTTTGACAACGTATGTTATATTTCCATTTAAAGTTTTTCTCCTTTAGTGCCCTGTGGAAAAAAAAACGAAAGAATGTATTTTTGTCTTATGTGGATTGCTTTGAGTCGGAGGGATTAGAGAGGGTCGGAGACAATAAGGAAAAAGAATGGGGGGGACAGCAACAGTCATTGCTAGCTACCTGTTTTTATGGTAATATTTCCTTTCTCACTCCAGCTGTACTTGGCCATCACTCTCATTGCTGTCGTTGTGGTAACTGGTTGCTTTGGTTACTACCAAGAATTTAAGAGTACCAACATCATTGCCAGCTTTAAGAATCTGGTTCCTCAGGTAAGTCGCACATAACCAATTAATAATGTGCAACTCCATGTCTGCACATTGTTTGAATTTAATATCAATTGCTTGTGTGTCTTATCACTTTTCCTCTTTTTCTTTTCTTTCACACTTGTGCTTTCCTCTCTCACTCTGTGTCTTTCTCCATGTGTTTATCTCCTTTTATCTTTGCTAATTTACTCCTGACATCCCAAAATAGCAAGCCATTGTGATCCGTGATGGCCAGAAGAACCAGATCAACGCCTGCCAGTTGGTGGTGGGGGATTTGGTGGAGATCAAAGGAGGAGACAGAGTCCCTGCTGACATTCGCATCATCACTAGTCAGGCCTGTAAGGTAGATCACACGCATACAGTATACTATACGGAATAACATTCACATGGATTAATGATACATGTCTTGATGCTAGCTCAGACTTTATTGGGTTCACGTGAATCAGTGTTTACATTTTGCCGAAGTTGTTTTGCCAGTAATTAAAATACCAGTTTCAACCCTTTAATTATAGCGTATTAAGTAGGCCGGCCAGTGTAATATAGTAAGTATTTACATGGGTATTTTACAAGAAATGAGGCCAGTTGGGGTAATGCTTTTGAATAGCCAGAAGACAGAGAAAGACTAAATCACTCTTGTGAATTGGGCCATATTTCTTGGGCCATTCCTACCCCATTTTATCATGTGGACATGTAATGATCTATTTGGGAATATACTTTGTGTGACAGGTGGACAACTCGTCTTTGACAGGCGAGTCTGAACCGCAATCCAGGAATCCAGAATGTACTCATGAGAATCCACTGGAGACAAAAAACGTTGCTTTCTTCTCTACAACTTGTCTGGAAGGTACTGTA